TTTTTTTAAGAATTTCCTCTCTACTTTCTTCTTTGTGAATTTGCCTGTATTTTGTGATCAACGGTTTATTCAGTCTATTCAGTATTCAGTGATTTATTCAGTAATTTTGGCTCACTGCCCATTGATCATCAATTCGCTTACTGCTGGAATCACTTTTCTCAGATATCAGCATGTTGATTTTCATCTAATCACTTATTGCCTATGAATATGCGCCACAAACATTGCTCATTTTTTCCATGTGAAATGAAAATTGTTTTTCTGTAAAATTTCCATCTCTTATAAATTTCCATGCATACGTTATCGTGCACGAAATACAAAATGCGCTTATTCTGTAGCATGAACACAGAGGACTCACACGCTTTCCTCTATGCAAAAAGTCGCCAGTTAACACACAGGATGCCTTTATTTTGAGGTGGAGGAATGGACACATCTTCGAGAGAACAAAGAGTTTTTTGAAAGGAATCTCTCACTTTGTAGGCAACTGGTGGAGGATAATTCGCAAAATTGAACCCAATAAGTGGTTACTTTTGGAGTTTTTGAAAACCTTTAAATTTTTGAAAAAAAAGAACCTTTGGAAAAACAACTTTAAAAAGGATTTGAAGCTTCGGAGGTTTGAAGGTTCGAATTTGAAGGTTTGAAGGCCCCCACCACTGCTTCCCGGAATGATCAAGAACGTGATAGGCAATAGTTAACTGCCATGCAAGACATGATCAGTGAGGTAGTCGTTGGCTGTAGTGGAGACATCTGGTACCACATGGTGCTTCAGTGCCACTCCGACGGTTACCGGTGCTGAGTTACCGGAGCTGAGTCGATGTGACTCCAGGAATCGGTCGTAATAACCTTTACCGTAGCCAAGTTGTCGCCCATCAGTAGTGAATACGACGCCAGGCACAATCACTAAATCCAGTGCACTTGTATTATAGAAGGGCTTGGAGGTGTGGTACTAAGAGAAGCAAAAATCAAGAATCTTGCATGCCTAATCCCTATTGGGGGAAACAGATTTTCCTATCGTTTTTATCCCAACGTTTAGCAGAATAGCCTCCGCACAGCGAGCTGTTTCAAGTTCTCTGCACAAAAGTGAGGAAAAATTTGAAAAAAAGAAGAGACAAAAGCAGTTTTTCGAAAGACACAATGGTGTTATTGATCAAGAAAGTATCTGTTTTCAGTAGGAAGATGCTAAATGTGAAGCATGAGACGTTAGTGTTCTTTGATATGTGGGAAATTAAAAATCATTTAAAAATTGAAGAAGTCATGGAAAGTACAGAAATTATTTCAAAACTCAGGAGATCACAAGGAAAATTGACGCAACGCTAAAAAACGGAGTTGCTTTATCAATAGGTGGTTTTGGTGGCAAAGTTCCGAAAACATTCCAAATGCTTGAGAATCATTGGGATCAAACTGGTTAATTGATTAATCAAGGAACTGATTCACTAGATCTCTCCCCCCTCCCCTCCCCCCCCCCCCCCCCTTCCCCCCCCCCCCC